GCATTATTCACAGTAGCTAAGGAATGGAAGCGACCCAAGTGTCTATTAATCGATAAATGGAGGATAAACACAATGGAGCATAGACATGTGATGGAGTATTAGTCAGCCTTAAAAGGGAAGGAAATTCTGACACATGCTGTGACATGGATGAACACTGAAGTCATCATGCTAGGTGAAGAAAGCTGGTCACAAAAAGGGCAAATGCTGTGTGATTTCAGTATGGGAGGTACTTAGGATAGCTAACTTAATAGACAGAAAGGGGAATGGTGACTGCCAGGGGTGGGGGAAGTGGGAATGGAGAATTGTTTAATGGGTACAAAATTTCTGTTCGGGATGATGAAAATCTCCTGGAACTGGATGGCGGTGGTTGACACACAACAATGTAAACATGCTCAACACCACAGACCTGTGCACTTATAAATGGTGATTATGGTAAACTGTAAGAGAGACGCAGCTATGTCTAGAACTTAAAAACAAGAAGGAATTCCAACAATTGCATTAATTGAAGCTAGATGGCACCTGTCATAGGAAATGTCTTGTCTAAGCAAGGAGTGTAATTGGCATGGCATAGTGGCACAGGCCTGGCTTTCAGGCCCAGATCAGTAGTGTGATCTCAGCAATTGTATAATTGCTTGGTGTCACAGATTTCTTACCCTCAAATTGGGTGTGACAGTCTCTATCCTCCTCCTGGCTGGGATTGCTATGTGGTCCTCGAGGGTAGTTTGGAAAATTCTTTGGAAATTGTCCTGCAGAACTAAGGGGGTGACCTCATTTTTTATTCATATTATAATTTTATTCATTTTTACTGTGAAATGGATCATGTATTTATTTAGAAAATATTATTATTATTTTTCAAAATAATGTAGGACCTCATTTAAATGCCTGAACTTGGGTCACAGCTTTGGGGGCTGCTCCAGCCAGGGCTGCCACAGGCTCTGTGGTATGTGGCTGGTCATTTCTGTCTGTACCTGACCCAAGGCTTACTGGAGTCCTGTGGGGCTTCTAGGGGAAGCTGCTCTGATGTCCCCTGCAGGACGTCATTGTGGGCCTTAGCCTGTATGCACACTGAGAAAGACTGGCTTTTCTAGCCAGGCTGTAGGAGAGGATGAACCTATTGTTCTATTTCTCCGCTGCATGTGAAGAACGAACTTGTCTGCTGTGCATTTAGGGTGGTGTGAGGGGAAGTGAGAAAGTAGACACTCACAGTTTTTTGTGTTCTGTGCTTCACTGAGAAACCCCAAGTGAGAAAGACTGCGATTGGGCACCCTTGGAAGCTCTATCTAAGCCTAATCTCCATCCTGGGTTCAGGCACGCAGGAAACAAGCGGCAGAGGGCTGGGCCAAGTTTTCTTAGGCTCTCAAGACAGGTCCCTAAATGCCAGGCCAGGACCGTGCAATGGCTGCACACGACAGTCCCATTCCTTTTGCATTTTGAAAACAGGGCAGCTCCAGGATGCTGGTTTTACATCTCTGGTTGTGACACTGTATTTGGGGAGCTGCTTCCCAAGCATGGAGTGCAGAAGGGGTGTGCTTGGGAGGCTGAACGGTGCCCTCCTTCTCCGAGAGCTGAGGTCACGGCTCAGACTAGTCTGGGCTGCATGTGGCTAAGTGCATTGCGGCCCTGGCATGGCTGGAGGAGGGGCAGTGGCTAAGTGGTTTCTGAAAAAGGGCAAAAATGATGGGAAAAGCTTTGGGATCCTTTGGGAATCAGAGCCGTGGCAACAGCAGCTGCTGCCCTTGCTGGAAATGTTTCCTTGAATGCCAGCTTGTACCCACGGCCCACCCCTGCAGCGTGGCCGGGGAGGGGCGAGGACCCTCTCAGAGGCACGGAGGCTACTTTTCTTCCACACCAGGCTGATTCACCCTTCAAGTAGCAACCACCTTGGAGCTCCCAGGGACCTGCTGGGCCTGAGGTGTGCCTGCACCTAGCTGGTGAGTCCTTCTAGTTGTATGTTGGCTGGTGCCTCTGTTAGCATTTAGGATGGCAACGTGAGTGATCACAAGGTGGGACCTGCTACTTCCAGTTGTGGAGTTATGGGAAGTTTAACTAGGCTCAGAGCCTCAGTTACCTCATCTGAAAACTGGGGCTAGTAATTGTGGCTGTAGTGAGACTGAAGTGAAATTGAAATGACGTGCCCTTAGATTCACTAATCATAAGCTCTGGGTAGATGATAGTGATAGTTGTTATTATCAGCATTTGTTATGTTTGATCCTGCACAGAGGTGAGCAGGCTGCAGCTGCTGTTGCCAGAGGTTTGTCACTGGAGGATTTTGGTGCATGGCCCTCTCTGTGCAGTTTAGGGCTACAGGGAAGCAGTCCTGGCTCCTTGTTCTGGCTCTCCTCTCTGTTCTTGGAAGAGCCTCTCTGTTGTTCACTCCTGGTTCTCTGATCTCTGTTCCTTCTGGGGAGATGCTCAGGTCAGATGTGAGGATGAGGATCGTGGGGCTGAGTCTTGGACCAGCATTGTTCCAGCAGCTCTGGAAGTCACAGCAAGAGGAAGGTGCTCTCCAGACCCTGCACGGATGTGTGCTTTGGGATCAGAGGAGGGCAGGAGAACCTCACTCACCACGTCTCACCTGGGGTGGGGAGAAGGAAAGGAGTCTTTTCCGAGGCGGTGGGCAGTGTCCCATTAGGCTGTGGAGGTCAAATCAGGTGTTGGTGCACAGGATCAGGCTTTCAGGGCCATCCTTTAGAACATCTTGATAAGTTTATGAACCTGGCATAAACTAGAATCCTCATCTCCATCAGACAGCCAACATATGTCTGCCTAAAAGATGGTGGGAATTCCCTCCATTACTGTGCTGTGATAGGCGCATCACTATGGGGCCCTTACGCAGGTCACACCCCAGGCCTGCGAGTGACAGACTATCCTGTCCGTATTTCCCCTCCCACCACATAGCAGGTCCTCAGTATCTATCCTACCCTCTGTCCTGGAAGAAGCTTGGTTTTTAATAAAGAACTGGGTGAATAGTGTGAAGTGCTGATTCAGGGTCTGTTGACTGACTGAAAGAAGGTAACCTGTGGGCTGATTCCTGTTTATTGGGTTGGGTTCAATTGGGACCAGTCAGAGGAAGAGGCAAAGAACATCACTAAAAGGTTCCCTGAGGTCCCTGCTAATAAGTGCTCTATTGTTGGGGCTAGAGCTGTAAGTCAGGACTTACTGTATTCTTGATTTTGCAGCCAGTCTTGCTCAAGGTGGGGGGATATAGACATTTCATGGAGATCCAAGTGTGGGATATGGCCTGGGTCTTCTTGGTAATGTTGGGGTTGTGAGCTTCGTAAGATGCTTATTTGAGCAGGGGGTGCTTCAGGTCTGGGGCTTATGCCTGGCCTCGGGGGTGGGAGTGTCTGGTCGGATCAGCACCAGGCCTGATGTGCATCTAGGGCCGAGTCTAATGTCTGAGAAAGAGCCCTGAGCCTCCCAGAGAAGTGGGAGTTACTGGAGACGCTCCAGAGCAAGGCTGCTAGGGATCATCACATCCAGGTTCCACCTCCTGTTGTCTGTATGACTTGGGGCCGGGAAGGGAATCTCTGGGTATCAGCTTCTACATCTGAACTGTGTACCTCTGAAGGTTATTGTGAGAACTGAGTGAACGCAGGTTAGTGCATAGGAGCGTGTTTGCCTTGTGCACAGCACATGCTTAAATACATCAATTGTGCAAATTTCTTTTGCTTCCTGTGTTATTTATTTGGAAACCAGAGCCACTGAACTGTCCTGTGCCTTTTAAATGATGACGGACTCCCGAGACTGTGACCAATTTTCAGCAGTAAGCTGTCTTCTAAAGACACAGTCCAGCACCTGGTCCCTCAGCTGCTGAAATCACTCCTGGCTTCCTACTGTTCATGCAATTATGCCCACATTCTGTTTCTTGGCCTTCAAGGCCTCTAGCCATCAGGTTCTCATCTGCCGCCTGTCCTACGATCTTTCTGACTTTCTCTTCACCAGCTGCTCCAGGGCACCACCCTCTCCTCCAGCTTCAGCTCCATCTGCTCCCCTTTCCCGTCCAGGTCACATGACCCTTCCTCCGTCGAGCCTCCTTCAGCACCTTGATCCCTCCTTGGTTCCTCTGGCCTAGCTAGAACCTGGTTACAGTGCTCCATGGTATCTGACCCCTCTCTGAGCCTGCAGCACCGTGCGAGGCTCCTGGAAGGACTCAGCAGATGGGTGCCGAGTGATGAAATGGACAGATGGGAGAGTGGAGTTTTCTGTGACTGGGAACACTCCCTGCTGCAGGGGGTCCACCTGATGTGTGAATTGGAGACTGACTCAGGCCATCCTGAGAGCAGAGCAACACAGGAAACTGCCAGGAGCTGGTGGTCAGCTGTCTGCTCTGTTCACATCTGGCCATCTGCTCTGGGTTTTCACTGCCTGAACTTTCCCTCGAAAACAGGAATTGAGAGGTGTCTTACTCCCTTAGTGATTGTTATAGTAATTTCCCTAACTACAGAAGTAAGAATGAGGAAGGTCTGCGTCTGATCTCTCTCATCTCTTTCATAACACCAAAATAGCTTTTTCATAAAGACAGATCAGTCAAAGTCCTTGCCCAGGGGGAGATCAGAGGGCAGAGGGAGAAAAAGCAGTGACAAGTAGAAATTGCTAGATCTCATGGCAGGCTGTGATAAGAAGCCATGAGGGATGGATGGACGATAAGCTGGACCACTCTGGAGCAGGGAGTGGTGTGAGGATTTGGGGGGTTTTCTGGAGGTGGCTGGGCCAGTGCTCCATCCCAAAGGGAGGTGGTAGGATCTAGGGAAGGAGAGGAGGAAAAAGCATCACAGTGGAGGCTGCATGGAAGCAAGTGTCCCTTAGATGGGACAGCCCTGGGAATCAAGGGGAGGGTGGGGGCAGCACAGTTGGACTTTTATAGTGTCCTGCTTCACAGAGGTCTTGGCAAGAAAAGCAGGTAAGGTTAAGAATGTATAAAAAACTCGAGCTAGAAAGAAGCCTAGCTCTGTGACTGCCCACAGGTAGTTTACCAGGTCACAGAGGATCTGGCAACGATGAAGAAATGGGCTAGTATGGACTCAAGGGAATCTGAGGACTCACCCCAAGAGGACTACAGCTTGGATCCCTCAGAAATGGATGCTAACTCTAAGACACCTCCAGCCAAGCCCCACGTTTTCTCTGTGAGCAAGAGCCGTACTCGGCTCTTTGGGAAGAGTGACTTGGAGGAGTCATCACCTATGGATTGCTCTTACGAGGAAGGCAAGCCAGCTCCCTGCCCGACCATCACAGTCAGCTCTGTGGTCAGTGGTCCAAGGCCTGGGGACGGTCCCACCTGCACCAGGTAAGACTTCAGTTCCCTCCCTGCCAGATCCCACTTGCTGTGCTGCTGGAAGCCTCAGTATGGACACTTGGCAAGGTAATCCCACCTCTGGGCTGAAGGTCCCAGAGCCGAGGAGCTGGGGGTCTTCTGAGGTGGCCTGGTCTAGCATCTGTGCTCAGAAGACTACTCACCAGACACATGGTCACTGACCTGGCATATATGATGATCCTAGCTCCCAGCTGATTACTAGGTGTCCAGGTCTGGAGTGTACACCAGCCTCAAACACTTAGTCAAGCTCAAGGCCAGGAGCTTTTAGACATGGGACAAAAAAGCTCCAAGAAGAGCCCTCAGCCCTCCAGCCTGCTTGGGGCACATGGGCTGGCTGACTTCCAGGGCAGTGTGAGGATGCCTTCACACCGAGCAGGGGCCATGCAAGCCCCTGTCTCCAGCCCGCCTCCCAGGTGCCTGCCTCCTCATCCCCAGCAGAGACAAGTGGGCCAGATGCAAGAGGAAGCAGTGGGGAAGACGTTCTCCATGATGCCTAGAGACAGGATGAGGACAAATGGGGATACATGGGTTCACATTTACATTGGCTTCCTGGAAGGTTATCAAACTGAGGTGTCGCCTTGCTTTTCTCTTTTGGGTTGTCTTGGGTTTAGTTGTGTTCCCTTGACGAGCTTCTAAGGCCTCAGGGCTGAAGGGAGACCAGGGCATGAGATGAAGTATTCTCTGGTCCCTAGGCAGCTGTCCCAGGACTCCATCCCCTCCAGTGCTGAGAAGCCGCCCAGGCTCTACGATCGGAGGAGCATCTTCGATGCTGTCGCTCAGAACAACTGCCAGGAGCTGGACAGCCTGCTGCCTTTCCTGCAGAAGAGCAAGAAATGCCTCACTGACACTGAGTTCAAAGGTACCCACAAGGGCAGACTTTCTGGGAGGGGTCCCTACCCTGGCTGGGCTCTCACTCTCCCTCTGCCCTTCAGACCCCGAAACAGGGAAGACCTGCCTGCTGAAAGCCATGCTCAACCTGCACAACGGGCAGAACGACACCATCTCTCTGCTCCTGGACATTGCCCGGCAGACTGACAGCTTGAAGGAGTTTGTCAACGCCAGCTACACGGACAGCTACTACAGGGGTGAGGAGGCTGGCAGGTCAGCCTAACTCAACCCATGCACATGCCTGGAACCCAAGCATTCAGGGGTCTGGGGCATCTTTGTTCCTCTAAGCCCCTTACTCCCTGCCCAGCTACTATGCTGGTTTCTCCTGGTTCTGATCCCTGCCTTCCTCATCTACAGTCTCCTTTATTGGCCCTGGAGTCTCTGCCTCCCTCTACTGACTTGGTGGTCCCTGTCCCTGGCTGCTTCTGACTTCTTTCTGCTACTTTTCTTTACCCCTGTGTAGTTTTGACTCCTCTCCCTTGAAGTCTGGCATTTCATGTTGCCAGGAACCTCTACTTCTGTTTTGAGACCTCTTTGGGCTTCCTTAGGAACCTTGGCCTGGCCTCCTGTAGTGGAGGGGTAACTCAGGCATCTTCTCAGTTTCTCCGCCAGCAGCAGCAGCTGCTGGCCCGGGGCCCCTCCCTGGTTGTAAATTTCTGGACACACTGCAGGGCTGTGATCACAAAACTAACAGTGAGCATCCTTCATAGGCCAGACTGCGCTGCACATTGCCATTGAGAGGCGGAATATGGCATTGGTGACCCTCCTGGTAGAGAACGGAGCTGATGTCCAGGCTGCAGCCAATGGGGACTTCTTTAAGAAAACCAAAGGGCGGCCTGGCTTCTACTTTGGTAGGGAGATCATGTGGCAGACATTTGGCATCTTGTCTTGTGTTAGGGGGAGGTTTGGGGCAGAGATACAAGGAGTGGGAGGCCCTGTGGTTCAGGGACCCCCAGTCTCATTCCAGAGCCCACCATGGCCGTATGTTGGCTGCAGGCGAGCTGCCCCTCTCCCTGGCTGCATGTACCAACCAGCTGGCCATCGTGAAGTTCTTGCTGCAGAACTCCTGGCAACCAGCAGACATCAGTGCCAGGGACTCCGTGGGCAACACGGTACTGCACGCGCTGGTGGAGGTGGCTGACAACACGGCCGACAACACCAAGTTTGTGACAAGCATGTACAACGAGATTCTGATCCTGGGAGCCAAACTCTACCCTACACTGAAGCTGGAGGAACTCACCAACAAGAAGGGGTTCACGCCCCTGGCTCTGGCTGCCAGCACTGGGAAGATTGGGGTAGGGGTGGGGCTTCAGCCCTGAGCTGGGAGCCCCATGTGGTGAGGGTGGCATGGGAGAGGATGGCATGTGTGGGACTCTGATTTCTTGTATGAGTAGTCGGAAGACTCGTGAGCTTCTGAGCAGAACCTGACAGGGTAGACACAGCTACTCCTGATTTCCCACTCTGAGTGTCACCAAGTGCCTGGGTGGTGGTGGGTTCAGGGACCTTGGCATGGGGCAGGGGAAGCTCAGTGTGAGGTAGAAAAAGAGACTTTCTGGTGAGTAAGAATTCTGAGTGACAGGGAAGTTTCCTTAAGAAGATAGTTTGGAGTAGGTCAGGTCAGGGGCCATAGGGGCCCAATCAGGGGCCATAGAAGGTTGATGGTGAGGCTGAGACTTCTGGGAATTGGACCAGAAAGGGCTTCTCAGTACCAGAGACTCTGGAAGTTTGTCCCTGCCCATCTGAGCCTCTTAGGCACCTGGTTTTATGATATTAATTTTATTACTGGGATTTCCTGTGTCTATTTGGGCTTGGGGTTTTCTAGAATGGACCACTGTGATCCCTCAGTGGTTGATGCTAGAGTCAGGGGCTCAGGTAGGTTGGGCCTGATGTAGCTGTTAGAATTGGAGGCAGCAGGCAGTGGGTCTTGTTGGTGGTCAGGAGCAGGTGGAGGCTTGCTTGAAGCTTGGGAAGGGTCTCTACTTGGGCCAGGAAGCAGAGTTGTTCTCCAAGCAGAGCTGGTGTCCTGCATGTGGATGCAGTGCTTGGTTGGGCCCCCAGCTGGCCTCTAATGAGCTCTTGCACCACTGCAGGTCTTGGCCTATATCCTGCAGAGGGAGATCCCAGAACCTGAGTGCAGACACCTGTCCAGGAAGTTCACGGAGTGGGCCTATGGACCTGTGCACTCCTCGTTGTATGACCTGTCCTGCATTGATACCTGCGAGAAGAACTCAGTGCTGGAGGTGATCGCCTACAGCAGCAGCGAGACCCCTGTGAGTGGTCAGAGCTGGCACACAGCTGTGGAGGGCACCAGGTCTTAAATGCCCACCCTATCCCCACCCCAGCCCTGGTCTGGCTCTGCCTGGTCTCTCACTAGGGAAACTTTATGGCCTGGGGGCCGAGGTCCTGCAGCCTCACCTTCCTTTTCATTCCCGTTGAATGTTTTCCTTAAGCACATAAGCAATAGATGATCATCATCCCACAAAAATGAGAATACTTCAAAGTATGTAGACAAAAGCAACCCTCCTTTTATACCATGTAAAATGTGTAGTTTCATTTTGATTATGTAATCGGGAATCATACTACACATAATATAGAACAAGTGGTCTTTTCCTTTTATGCCGTGTCTTGTAGTTTTAGATTAATATATATGGATCCATCTCATTTTAGATGAGGGGTAAATGTCCATAGGACACTCAATTTATTTATTTATTTATTCATTTATTGTTTATTTGTTTATTTACTTATTTTGTACTGGGAATTGAACTTACGTCCTCACACTTGCCAGGCAAGCACTGTGCCACTGAGCTATATCCCCAGAGATGCTCAATTTATTTGAAGTTTTTTGCTACCACAATGCTGTAGGCCACTTTAGCATGGGTTTGAGAATTTTTCAATTAAAGATACTTAGAACTGGAATTACCAAAGCAAAAAGCACACTCGTTTAATATTTTAATAGCTACTGAATCTATCGACATGATTACTACCTGTGGGTGCTTAGAGCCTGTATCTCTGCCAGTCTGAACATCATCAGTTCTTTAGAAGCCAGTTTAAATCCATTAACCCCAAATGCTATCTTGTTAATGTCTTGACTCTCATTTCCTGGATTACTGTGAGGTAGAGCATTTTTATGTGCTTATTGACTTTTGATATTTCTTTGGTGAATTTTCTATATACTGTTCTTTGTCATTTCTTCCGCTGAGGTGTTCGTCTCCTTTTGGTTTGTCCATGTTCTTGTTATAGAATGAATCGATCCTTTCTCTATGGCACGTGTTGCAAATATTTTATTTTCTCTCAGTCTGGCTCTTGCTTTTTTACTTCCTTTATGGCATCATTTTTACTTACAAAAGGCTTGCATTTTGATAGGGTCAAACCGACCAGCCTTTTCCACTTGTAGCTTCTGTGACTGTGAGGAAGGCCTTTTCCACTTTAAGATTAAACACATAGCCTATATTTTCTTTTACCTCTTTTATAGGTATTTTACGTTTGGTGCTTTATCTAGATTTATTTTTGTATAGGTATGAGGAAAGCATTTTACTCAATTATTCTGATTCCCGGTGAAAGTCTCAGGGTCATGCAGTTCACACCTGCTTTCTTCTTCTTCTTCTTCTTCTTTTTTTTTTTTTGGCCAGGATATAGCTCAGTGGCACAGTGCCTGCCTGGCAAGCATAAGGTCATGAGTTCAATTGCTGGTACCCATCCCCCTAAAAAAGAATGATTGAATAACTGTTCAAAGTAAGGGGAAATATTTTGAGGGTGACTGATGCCAATGTGTCTTTTATGATAATACATAAAAAATTTAGACATTCACTATATTTTTCAGTCATCTTATATAATAATAGAGTCAAGGGAGAGTGAAGACTTATTCAGCCCTGTTGGACCCCACTTGGGCTACAGGTTGAATCTAGATTCTACTCAGAGTCCCAGACACAAGAGTTCCTGGAGGGGTGTTGTGGGTAGTAAATGGCCTCAAAAAGGACTGAGGTGTTTGACATGGAGAAGAGAAGTCACCTTCATGTCTCCAAAGGCTCTTGGGGGTCAGGAGTGTGGGCTTGTTCTGGAACCATTGATGAAAATTAGAGAAAGCCAACTTTATTCCAGAGGACATCAGGTAGCTCTTTTTCATAGGCTTCTTGAAAGACAGGGAGCTTTTGGTCCCCAAAGATATTCAAGGTTCAGCTGGGGCTTGGACTTGATAACTGGAGAGAGGTTAGGATGAGCTGATTTTGGTTCATCTGTCCTACGAACATTTGAAACTTAACAAAGTCTTTGTATGTGAGCCTTTGTATGTGTCTTTGTACGTGAGACTTAACAAAGTCTTTCTAAGTGAGATTTTTGCCCCAGAGCCTATTTATAATGACAATACCTGGGCACCAGGCCTCCTACTACAGGAAAGTCTGCCCAGGTCCCCTCATACCTCATGCACATATAATCGCCACCCTAGCCTGACCCAGGGCTGGAAATGTGAGAAATAAAGCATCCAGAGGCTCCTTCCTGCTCCTCTGCCCCCAAGAAAAACTGCCTCATGCCTGGCTCTAGTTGAGGCATCTTCTTCCTGTTATGATGGGAACTATAAGGATTCCTCTCGGGAATGAGTAATTAGAGATAGTAGGGGTAGAATGTTAGGCAATGCAACAGGCCCTTAGTTAGCATTTAGGGCTCGTTCAGTTTTGCCTCTATTTATTGTACCCATGCAACACTGAGGCCAAGAGGATGGGTCATGCGGTGAGCCACACACAACTGGGACCAGCCCAGGGGCCTGTCTGCCTGCTGGTTCAGGCCTCCGGTGATACTCAGCTACTTGGCAGGCTGAGGTGTGGTCATGCCAGACCTGTGAAGGAAACATGGACATAAGCAGCACCAGGCACTGTTGTGGGGGTACAAGGTGGCCCCTGGCAAGGGAGTGAGTTTGCTTCATTTTGCTTCTTCAGAATCGCCATGACATGCTCCTGGTGGAGCCTTTGAACCGACTTCTACAGGACAAGTGGGACAGATTCGTCAAGCGCATCTTCTACTTCAACTTCTTCATCTACTGTTTGTATATGATCATCTTCACCATGGCCGCCTACTATAGGCCGGTGGATGGCTTGGTGCGGCCAGTGACTTGGGGCTTGGCAGGCAGGGTGGGGGTATGGTGCGTGGTGTGCATGTTCCCATAAGACCCCTAGGTGCCCTGGGCTCCTTTCTGGCTTCCTGGGAGAAGGAAGGGTCATCCAGAGGTCCTTATTTCCCTGCGCTCAGTATTCCCTCTCCCAGGCCATCCTAAGCAGCCAACTCCTTTCCTATTCCTGGCCCTTCTTCTTTAGTTTTGCAGTCCAGAGAGGCTGAGTGTGATCACTTGGGTCCCTGCTTTCAGGCATGGGCACATGCAGAAAGGATGTAGGAATTGGGCTCAGGAAGCAGCTTCTCGGCTGGATATCTGTAGGGTCACAGCACGGCATAAGACCCCATCCTGTTGCCACCCAGCTTGCCTGCTCTGTTTTGTTCATTTATTTGCTCATTATTCATTTCCTGGACTTACACTTTTGAGTGCTTCTTCTGTGCCAAGCCCTGGGCCTTCCATAAAATCAGCTTAAGATGGGAGTTTTCTTTCTATCCAGAGCCATGAGCTCTATGGAGTTTCTGAATGAGTCCTCTTGTTAAATACCCAGGACACTTCATTTGCTGCCTTTATATCTAGGGCACCTTTCTGGTGATTTTTTTCTCTTTTTTTTTTGTACTGGTGATTGAACCTGGGATCTTAACACTGTGCTACATGCCCAACTTTATTTATTTATTTGTTTATTTTTATTTTGAGATAGGGTCTTATTTAGCTGTTAAGTTGCTTGGGCAGGCTTGAACTCGTGATCCTCCTGCCTCAGCCTCTGACAGTGCTGGGAGTATTGGTGGGTGCCACCATGCTTGATTTGGTTTAGAAACTCAGTTTCCCTAGTTAGGGGGCACCAGACTTCTATTCACTTATTAAAGTCATTCAATGATTCCATTTTAAGAGAAAAGAGAAATGTGCTAATAAGACAAGCTAGTCAACTAGTGCTTACAACACATAGTTGGTAATCTACTCTACATAAAGGTGGCTGAAACACAAGGACTGCAGCCATAGGTATGCGGGGGATGGCCTCTCCCTCCCTCAGCAAGGACATCACCCATAGGATTCTCTATTTGACATGTGGAGGCTGCCACTTCAGGGAAACTAGGTCTCACAAAGGGACCTTGTATGTATCATCGTAATAATGTATTGTCTTTGTGTCTGTCTCGCTCTCTTAATGGAGGGTGTGCCTCTGAAGTAGGGGCTGGGTCTTAATTGTAGAGCTTGGCACCAGGTAAATGTTGAATGAATGAGTGAATGGATGGATGGATGGATGAATGGATGAATAAACGGACTTACCAACTTCTCTGCATCTCACAGCCTCCCTATAAGATGAAAAACACGGTTGGAGACTATTTCCGAGTCACTGGAGAGATTTTGTCTGTGATAGGAGGATTCCACTTTTTTTTCCGAGGGGTAAGCTTTCCTTCCCATGCTGTGAGTTTCCATTATTACTGAAACAAAAGCTAGTAGAATCACTCCTTGCTCACTCACTTTTATGTATCAGAAACATAATGGCCCCACTTGAGTTGCTGAGAGATGTAGAGGTGAAACTGAGAGTCCTTCAGTATTCATGGCTGGGGTGAGGGTACTGCCCAGTGTGTCCCATGAGCCTGGAGCAGTCAAGCTTGAAGTTAGCCAGGGCTCTCTACTGCAGTCCTCCCACCGTATATATTATTTGGTTACAAGCCCAGAGTGGAATCCTCTTAAATGGTAGGATCATGACTGGTAGTTTTATAGTTTAATTCACCAAAACAGTCCATTGAAACTCAAACAATGAAGGAAATGTACATGTAAAATGGAACTATTTTATTTTAACTAAAAATGACAAAAATGTTATGATTTTTAACCTCCAATCTTCTTTGGGCTAAGTTATATCTAGTCTTTCTTTCTTTCTTTCTTTCTTTCTTTCTTTCTTTCTTTCTTTCTTTCTTTCTTTTATTTTCCTTTCTTCCTTCCTTCTCCTTCCT